ATATCAACACACACACACACACACACACACACACACACACACACACACACATACACACACACACGCACACGCACACACACACTCAAATATGCACACACACTCAGGCTTACAGTCACATGCATCCTATAAATGAACAGTAATATAAACAATAATAATCTTAAGCTAGATTCATACTCGATGTTATTCTGATGCATGCTCTAAGGTCATGTGAATACTTATTGGAAGGACTGTGGGTTGGAAGCTTGGCCTAAGCACTCACATCAGGAACAATTCAGACTCCATGTGAATCTTCTCCTTTACTCAATTGCTATCACCGAGCATACAGTGAAGAGCATGGACACTATTTTTAAAATTCAAGACGAAAACGTACCTTTAAATTGCGCTACAAATACTAGTCTTGGATTGGGTAAATTAGCAAAAGTAACCACTTGGCTAGGAGCAGCAAGAACAACAGACACCATTGCCGCAACGCAAGACAGAGAGAAGTGGAGGTCCATGATCGCCCACGCCAGTCGGCAAGGCAGCGGGTGATGATGAACCACTTGTAGGAGAAATGTCTTAGTGTGCCACACAAAACTATGACAGGACGTATTTGGTCTTCGGGCTATAGTTTGCCCACCCCTGTTCAAAACAGACTGGACGAACGAGAGTATTCATCTTCTACCGACGTCTGGAGTACATACCCTGACAATGGTGAAATTTTGATAAAACGTAGACGCTCGTAAGGCCACGTCAGTTTGGCACTCAGTGGCCAGGTTGGTGAAAAATCTGGCACATTTGTTCTCGGCCTCTATGTGGTAGGCTGAAATTTTTAAAAATATAATATAAGTGAGGCATGCTGACAAAATGAGTTACTCCTTGGATTCTAGCAGTGTGCATGTACAATATATTTGCATGAAATGATAAAATCTGTGTTCTCATTACTTCCGCACACCTCGCACACACATTGACACTAAACAACAAACAAACGCTGAAATTAATATATTTAAGGAATATATTCAAAATGAAAAAGAATGAAAGCATCAAATTAATGTCTCAAGATGAAAAAATAAGATCAGAAAGTTTTTCCATATGATTACGAAGCATGGTAAACAATTGCAAAAGAGTGGAGTCTATCTTTGCACAAATGTAACCAGTATTTTCCTTACAGCACTTTATATTAGCCATTAAAAAGTAAAGTTGTTCCCGCATCCGATTCGGACATTGGGGATTGCCTTGTCAGTGAGACAACTTCCTGGGCCTTCGGCATATTGTGATAGGGTGGCCAATTCCTTTCCACGCCGCCTTTACTTCCCCAACTGGAAGTCAGGTACCCATTACTGCTGGGTGGGCAGGAGGGGGAGAAAAAACTTAGCCATTAAGCAAGACTATTTATTTCTCATTCACTGCTCTAAATCAGTACTTGCCACCACGTGTGATATCGTCCACTAGAGGGCAATTCTGTAATTTTGGTGGGTGGTGGGCGGTGGGGATCACCTGGATAGCGACAGGTGTTATTTAACCCTTTGAACCCGTTAGGTCGGTAAATCAGCCTGGGCAATATTTGGCTGTATACCGTAAGGCCAGTTCACTGGGGGCACGGACAACCCTGAGTTGTGTCGTCTGTCAAAAGTAGTCTCTTTATTTCTTGTTCGTCATCTTACGATATTTCCACCGTGGAATAAGGTCAACAAGGGAGGGAACAGACGTGTGTTTATTTCTCCATGTTTTTCCCCTCAGTCTGTTTGTGTATGTGCCCCCAAAACACGGTGAACTTTGATGAAATTTGTGAAAAATGTCCAGGGATAGAGTTTTGAGAAACTTCAAGATTCAGGGTTCAAAGGGTTAACGCCCCACTGGGAAACACATGTCGGTCGGCCGTACAGAAATGTTACACTCTTGATGGAGGCAAGAGTGGGCCCTGGCGGTACACGGTAAAATACCAATAGGAAGGAGCCAGAGAATAAACACAAGTATAGTAAATAATTGTGTCTACCAGCTGAAAGTGAGAGCTTTTACCGGCAGGATTTCCATCTGTGCAAACTGGCGAGGAGGAGAGGGCCGCTGGCAGACCGAGGTAGCCGAACGCTTGCGTGGGGTACACCACATACAGGGGGTCTCCGCTCTGAAAGGCACAACCAGACCGGCACATTCAACATTGCTGAAGACCCTGATTTCTCACTTTATCCACTACTCCTTACTTTATCCATGGTTTCTTATTTTATCGAGAGCAATTGTGTGGGTGGACTGATTGTAAATATGTTTCACCCCCCCCCCCCCCCTGCCATCTAAGCAATTAAGATTTCCCCAAAGAATACCAGGCATGTTTCCTTCAACAATCAGCAACAATCAGCAACAATCAGCAACAATCAGGAAAAGCTGGAATAGCAGACAAAAACCTACCAAACAACAATGGAAAGGAAGTAAACAACGTCTATGCCAGCTAGACTTTCCCAAAACCGTAAAACACTTACCCAAAACATAAAATGTCTGTGGGTCTCTTTCACCACTCAGACATACACCAGCAGTAAACAGTCATGTACCCCCCGGGCAGTGCCACTGACTGAAGTGTCTTTAGGCCATTCCCAAAGGGGGGACATATCTCGTTCAAGCATAGTAGAATTGTAAATGGGCTGACTCACGTCACGCTCATAACTGTGCCTGATCTACAACAGGGAACTGCTGCTTTTTCTTTCCTGATCCTTACTATTTTGTCATTTTCCTCTACTGCTTTTGTATGTTTGTCACTCCCTTGTGACCTGCTATTTTGGGGTGCCTTGATAGTCGAAGCAGACCTTATGCAGTTGAAGCTAGAGAGGTGAGCAGAGTAAGCCTGATTCCCTGTAAAGACTTCTCTGTTGACATCCACCCCTTGGCGCTCATATGACCTTATGCAGTTAGGAGCGCCATAAAACCCTCTACTATAAAAAAACAACAACCAGTCATGACTGAGTCTCTACCGTATGGGCCTTTTGGACCCCTCCAACACACAAACTCCAACCAACCTTGTAGTAGTCATTAAACTGGGCTGTGAGGGTGGGTGGGGCCGTGGACTGGAAGGAAAACGTGCTGTAGTCTGCCGAATACTGCAACAGCTCTGCTTCCGAAGATATCAACGTCGGATTGACGTAATAGTTTCTCGACTCATCTGAAAGACAAAAGAAGGCAAACATTAGTTTTAGTAAGAGTTTTACAGCACTTGCAACACAAATAGGTCATAGAAGTGCCCAAGTTTAAAAGTGTTACAAGAGAGTAACACACACAAAAAAAGGGAAATGATAATGATGGATGTTTGACTATAAAGAAGGAGCGAACCACAGCAGAGCACCCACTAACCACCCATTAATCACGGCCCAAAGACATACCTGAGGCATCGTGGGGAAATCAGCCGCTCATCAAAATAATGAAATCGAAGAAAAAGGCATTTTTTCACCAGTTTGTGAATTTTATAGAAATTTAGTTTTTTTGTTATACACCTCTCTAGCCTCAACAGCACAAAGCCTGCTTCGACTATCAAGGCAACCCGGAAATAGCACTTAACAAGAGAGTGACAAACACACAAAAAAAGTAGAGGAAAAATGACAATAGTAAAGATGAGGAAAGAAAAAGCAGTAGTTCCTAGTTGTAGTTCAGGCACGGTTATGAGCATGATATTGATAAATCAGCCCATTTACAATTCTACTGTACAGAAGAACATGTTTAAGTCCTCCCTTTGGGAATGGCCTAAAGACACTTCAGTCAGTAGCACCGTCCGGGGGGGGGGGGGGGGGGGGGGTAATCTTCCATGCGCAATCTTTCTATTTGAAACATGTACATAGTGAAAGTCTCACAGAACAAAATGACTTTTGCAGCCCACAAATTTCGCTACAAGCATGATGGACTGTATATGTCTTCACTAAATAATAATAATACTAATAGATAGCATTTGTATAGAGCGCAAATCCATGCTCAACAGCAAGCTCTATGCGCTTCAAAATCTACAGCCTACTATTACCCCAGCAGACCTCAGAGCATTCTGAAACAACCTCAACTTCCTGGGAGGCATACAGTGCAAGCAGCCATTTATAGGCACTGAAACATTAACATACTGACAAGATGAGACACTAGTTACCGTTGTCGTAAAAGATACAGAAGAGGCCGTCGTCCCGGTCCTCCGAGGTCCCGGGCCCGTTGTTGAAGAGGAACACGTTCTGGCTGAAGCACTGGCGGTTGTCCACCCTGAGAAAATGAATCAATGTGGGGAAATCCGAGGCAAAAAACTAGCAAAACTCAAGAACCTTCTAAAAAAGTGTGTAGATCTTGAAATCAGATCCAAAGATTTTTTAATGAGATGTACACATGACATACTCAAAAGAAAGTGTCGCAACACATAGACATTTTGTAAGATAATTTATAAAGTACAGTGACAAAATTAATCTGGGAGTTTTTTTGGGGCCATTATATGCAAACACAAAAATACACTTCCAAATTTATGTCCTTTTAATGATAATAGCATTGGAAAGCTAAAGCTTACATAGAAAAAGAATATCCCATTTCGTGTAAATTACACGCAACAGATAAAATGTGCGTAGAAGTAGAATCAATGATGTCTTTGGACTGCCAACTAAAAAATCCTCTTCTTTTTACATCAAAAATCTTACCGCTCCAAATATAACTGACTTCAAAACACTGAATCAGAACTATCATTTCAACTATTAAAAGTCAACATTTGTTAAAACCCATTTTTCAATTACTAATCCAAGAGCAATCTGTTTTTAGCCATAGAACCTACGGGTTCAAAGCCGAAGCAGGAAGAGGTTCGAAGACGTCAATATCTGCCTGAGAACAGTCCGGGTCGCAACGGCAGTTCACGTTACACGCATTTCCTGTCAGGTCGCAGGGACACAGGCTCACATCTGGGAAGAACATTACAGAAGTAAAAAACAGATCAATATCAGACCTAAAGTAAAACATGTGTATTATTAACTTGGGATTTAATACTCTTGCATTCATTTTTGTACTTTCAGAGTTCATTGAACAGTCAACATATACCCCATCAGCTAAAGCACAACGCTTAATTGGAATAAATCTTACAACAGGAATCACTTGAATGGAGCCCAGTGGGTAGAGAGAGCTCAGAAAATGAAGATCATGAAAGCAGATGGCATTATATAACAGGACTAGAGAACAGGAAGAGGGGTGAAAGGAGAACAGTTTAGACAAGAACATTTTATTTGTCACTGTCAGGTTTTCGAGCCGTGGACATTTTTTATACAAGGCAAACACCGTACCTCTGGACCACAAGAGTCCCCAGTACATGAAGTCGTGTAAATCCTAAGTTCTGAAATGGCATGGACAGCATTGTATGACACAAACAACACTGTCCTGGCTAGCAAAAATACAAGACAATGATAGCAAAAATACAACACAGAGAAAATCTTTTAAAGAACTAATCTATATTATAAAATACTTATTTAAGTTGTTCTTTACCATGCAACTAAAATGTAATTCCTATGGCTAGCATTTTACTGAAATTGTAAATAAAATCTGATTCAGATTTTAGGATGCAAACCTGATGGACCTCTAGATATAATCTAGATCTAGATCCTATTTCAAACACCATCACCCATCAAAATTTGTAACAATGGCAATGTATCATCAACAAAGTTTTATTTGCCCTTGCTTACTAGACCTAACTCTTAGTCTACTTACTTACCAAACACCCAAGTCTAACATACTTTAACTTAGAGAAGTTTACGTGTTTATGAGTAGCCTAATAAATTTTTAATAAAATTTTTTAATAAATAATATGAGATCGCATTGTTGTTTATTACCAGCTGGATTCTCTTTCATAAATTTGAAAAGTAATATGTAAATCCACCTATAACACAAGACTCCAGGGGAGACAGAGAAGCCTGTAATAACCTGTGTTTTCCGGAACAGGGGACTCGGACATCGTGGGAAGAAGAAAAACAGTTGTGGTTGGCGGAGGTGTGGTCGTTGATGTGGTTGTTGGCGTAGTTGTCGGAGCTGCAGATGTGGTATTTGTATCATTTGCTGCAGACGTAGCATTATCCGTCGTGACAGGCAGTGTAGTTGTGTTCTGGGACGAAGCTATGTGCAGCAAGCATCCATAAACACACACAGCTAGGCCCAGTTTGGGCAAGTTCAAGCGTCTAGCCGCCATGATGTCAACTATTCGGCTGCTATGCACAAATTAACGAAAGACGAAAATAGCCGAAACTGTTCGCGAGAAAGAAACGAAAGAATAAAAATGTCTATCTGAGACAGCGGCGTGCGGTCCTTTTGGGAAGGGAGGGGGGGGGGGGGGGGGGTAGCCTTTTTTATAGTACATTTTTTTTTCTCTCTCTCTCTTACAACATTGGTAAAGAATTCGGTGGTTAGACGCCTGCTTCGATTCAAGACCTAAGCTTTTTGCTCACCTAGAATTTGGCTGGACGTAGGCTATTAGAAAAGGAGGTTAATTACAGGCCTAAATATAGGCATATTATAATCTACGGTCCTTGAAATGAGAACTGCTATAAATGGATTGTTGTTGAGGGGTGGGGTTGTTGTTGTCGTTTTTTGTTTTTGTTTTTTTAGGGATGGGGGTTCTCTTTAGTGGAGGGGGGGGGGTCCATTCTCTTATAACATAAATCATGTGTTTGTTTCTCTTCGTGTTTTTTTTTTGTTGTTTTTTTTTAATCCATACACGTGTGGCAGAACTGTTGAATTTTTGTTTGCTGTAATTGTTGGAGTTATTCTTGTTGCTGCTGTTATTGCTTAAAAAATTATGAGCAAGTAATTAATTTCTACTTCTAGAAAGCAAAACATTTTAATGTGACTTGAGAGTTCAAAGACAGACATTATTATATATGTATATTATATTGTGTAAAAAAAAAACAACAACAAAAAACTTCAACAGCGTAGATCTATAGTTTATAGGTAGGAGTTATTCACAAACCTATCTGCTGTCCGCTGTGTGGCTGGCAGAGGACAGAGATGACGGCAAGTCCAACAGATATGGAGGAAACAGAGTGGGTCATGGCTGCCGTAGTTCTCACACACACACGTCATGCAGGTGTGTCTTCACAGTTCCTCGATCGTCTTGTCGAAGCCAGGAGCTGGTGCCAACGCTGGCATAATCTGAGATAATAATTACTTTATAATAATAATAATAATAATAATAATAATAATAATAATAATAATAATAATAATAATAATAATAATAATAACAATAATAATAATAATAATAACAACAACAACAACAACAACAACAACAGTCATCATCGTCATCATCATCATCGTCATTGAAAAGCGCATAGACTACTGTATAATCATTCTCTGCAGCATAGTCAATAATAATCATTGCGTTCAACAAAGGAGTGTGCCCCAGCAGCAGACTCTTACAGCACTTAGGAACATCCTCGGCTTTTCAGGAAACACACAGTCTACATAGGTCTAGTAAAGATGAGAACATGACTGAACAAAGGGGGTCTCTGGGTACACAGACTAGGAGCCACCGAAAAAAGATAATTAATTATTTTGGCCATAGTGTAGCCTACTGGTGGGAGGGGGGAGAGGAGACAAATAGACAGACAAACATTGACAGACAGACAGACAGACAGACAGACAGACAGACAGACAGACAGACAGACAGACAGACAGACAGACAGACAGACAGATAGATAGATAGATAGATAGATAGATAGATAGATAGATAGATAGATAGATAGATAGACAGACAGACAGACTGTGATGTGGACCAATGACCGTTAAACGCTATCTTAATGAAATATCTACCTACCAGCCTCTGCTCATCAAAAATATAAATGATTGAAGCAAAAGAAACTAATGTTCAATATTTATTTTAACAAATCAGACGGTTGTCTTCATAAGGGTACCCCCCCCCCCCCCCAACCCTACCCCACCCCACCCCACCCCCATCAACAACTTACATGTCCCAGGCCTGTAGAGCCACGAGGCGGTATCCGCTTGTGTTAGTCCACGGTAGGAAATGTGGCCGCTCGATGGGCGTGCTGTGCCATAATATTTGAGGAACCGAAACTTCACCGACTCTTCGAAGCCTGTTTAAGTCACTATTCGTGCCATTCGAATACCTTGTGCGTTTGTCTTTAATTTCTTTTCTATTCAAAAATATTTTTATATTGATAATGTAGTCTAATTTAATTAGAGGAATGTTTTAGATCTATAAATCTTTTCGGCTCTGAACGTATCACTCTGTCTCGTAAACATCAAATACAACATAATATGTCTGTGTATAACTCAACGAGTTTGAATGTCGTGTGGTCTAATTTTACGACGGGTTGAGAAAAATAAGACAAAAATCCATTATCTGTAAAATTCACTCGGCATTTGAAAGTCTTTGCTATGCTTCGAATAGCTGTGATCTTGAACAGCAGAAAATCGCGAATGCTGAATAGTAGTTGAATGGGCGCAGTACTCGCGGATGGGCACAATTCGGGCCTTTTCGATTCGGATGTAGGCAGCTCTTCTATATAACAATATGTGAGGCATCGTGGTGAAATCAGGCTCTCGTCAAATTAACGAAATCGAAGACATCGGCAGTTTTCCTCCAGTTCGACATTTTTAAAAAATAAAAATTTTTTGACTCAGCACCTTTTATGTCCATTAAAAAAAACATTTTTCTGAGTGGATTTTACTGGATAAAAATATTGATTAAAGGCACAACAAATGTAAATGTTCAGTTTCCAAGGACTTTGAAGCTTTAGAAATCACACATTTTGGCGACTATTTTCTCGCTAATTTTACCTTTGAAACCAGGCAGCCCCGACCTCCTTCAATCGCAAATTAGATCTAGATCTATATCTCGACTCCTAACCAAGATAGGCGAGTATTTTTTTCATCAAAAGATGGTCACATGAACAAGCTTTAAGATGATACCAACAGCCCAATGTGCCCAATAACTGACGAGCGGCTGATTCCACCACGTCGTGACACATATAGACGTCGTGCGGTACTGAGGGAAGGTGATCCAACATGTCCCTGGCGCTAATGACACGGTGGATACCTGTCCGGTCCGGAACTTGCCAGCAAAGGTGGCTGTATCGATCCGTTGCGCATCACAGTATAGATCGATGAACTATCTGTGTATTGATTAGTTAGTTGTAGCTGTCACAGCACGCGTGTGTCGGCCACAGAGGGAGATCGGAGAGAAAAGGGGGGGATGAAGAGAGTGCCCAAGACATGTCTTAGTGAGTGTGTTTTGTAATTCAAGTGTTTGTTTGTTCGGTTGGTAGTTGGTTGGTTGGTTATTGTTGCTGTTGTTGTTGTTTTAACAGACAAGTCTTTTAACCCCCACCCCACCCCTTTTTTGTTTACAATTCTAACGGGAGGATGAGATCAAAGCCTGTCATTAAAAAAGCAACTCTCTCGATCTCATAATTCAGTTGGTGTTTCATGGGGCATTCCGCTAACATAGCTTTACGCAGGTCCCAAAACACATTTGCTGTTTTGGGAGTAGATTTAGTTAAAGTTAGTAATGAGGCCTATAATATAGATCTAACTTTTTCTGTTCCTTCTTCCGAACAGCACCCCCCCCCCCCCCCTGTCTCTCTCTCTCTCTCTCTCTCTCTCTCTCTCTCTCTCTCTCTCTCTCTCTCTCTCTCTCTCTCTCTCTCTGAATTATGTAGACACCCCGACCCCCAACAAAAAAAAGATTTGAAATAAAACGTATTGGCTTTCTGTATATTATAATAATAATAATAGGCTATACAATAATTATATGTAGCTCATTATTTATACGTTATTTGTTGGTGGCTTTTTGTAAGTGCTCACAGAGACAAAAGCCTGAAAAGACACAGATCTATCCACAGAGCACGGATGAGTGGTAGGCTATGTAGGCGCACGGCCCATGGTTTGTACAGAAACAACGAGTGAAGAAACCCTCCTTCCTCTGGTGGTATCGTCCATGAATTATGAATAGGATCTTCCGCGCTGTTGGCGCAATGGTAAATCACTGGCTTGAGACATGGCCTGGCAGTGTGCTTGAGTTGTTAGCTGCTGTGATCAACATTGTAGGCCTAATGGTCTGAGGGGCTATAAAAGAATTGCGATCAACACAAGCCTAATGTTCTGAGGGGTTCTCAGGGGTGGTTAAAGAATTGTCATCAAGCCCGGCCACAGACAACAGAAGAGGGGACAGGCGTCTTTCTCTCCTGCCCAGAGCTGTACGTGCTCATGGCACGAGTTTGGGGGAAGGTTATGAAATGAGGATCGTGATGACTAAGTAGCCTAAAAAATTCATTCATGAATATGTGACATCATTTTAAATGTACAATTGTAAGCGCGCTCGGGTAACTTGTAGGTTATGCACTGAAAATCAACATTGTGCTTTTAAACGTGATACATGTATTGGTAAAGAAGTAAGGAAGCTATTTCGTTGCTAGATTAATACTAAAGGCCTACAAGACAGGCTGATATAGGCCTACCCCCAAGCCCAAGAATAGACACATGACGTCGTGGAGTTTCGGCTAATTCGTAGCCTATTTCAAATCAGCTAGATCTATGCATGGGCACAGAGAGAGAGAGAGAAAGAGAGAGAGAGAGAGAGAGAGAGAGAGAGAGAGAGGGGGGGGGGCGAGAAAGAAGGGTGCAGAGAGAGCGAGAGAGAGAGAGAGCAAGAGAGAGAGAGAGAGAGAGAGAGAGAGAGAGAGAGAGAGAGAGAGAGAGAGAGAGAGAAGTGACGCGGGTGTTTTTGTTACGGAGTTCCATATTGAGTCTGTGGTTTTGGGACGGATTATGTGGGAAGAGATAAGGGAGGAGATGTGATAAAGAAAAACTGACATCGCATTTCAGTCTTGATTTTTTAAATGATTAATAATGATGAATTGTTCCTTTGTAATGATGTTAAAGAATCCTAGTTTTTTATTTATCGGAACTCTTTGTATGCCAGATTGCACAGAATACAAACAAAAAATCACACTACATAATCTTTTAAAGTAACTTTCAAAATGTACCCTCTCGTTAAAACTGTTTTTTTTGTTGTTGTTTTTGGAATATAATATTTTTTAAAGATAAAGTAGCTTTGAATTCCAAAATAATTGAACTTGTCAGTTTCAGAAAACAAATTTGACCTGCAGATGGAAATGGCTGGCCAGTTCTTCGCCGAGCGTGTTCAGCTTCCGGCTGTGTTTGCTATAATCGACTACTACAAAGATCGTGAGTTTGTCCAATAAATGGTTATTTCCACGAATGTAGCGACCCTCACAAATAGACAGCCATTTGTGTCAGAATAACAAGCAACAAGGAAAAGTCTTTCATTTTTCAATGATAATGATATTGTAAAACGATACAGAAATGTGTCCCCTCCCCAAATCTTTAAACTTTGAATCGTATTCGTTCAAAAAATAACAAATTGAGCATTAAGATATCTAAATCCTCAAGCTGTGTATTTACATTAACAGCCATCTAGCTACTGTTAAGAAGGACACCGCATGTAGTTATACATGAATGAAAATTGGACCAAAAGAAACATTAGCATAGCACATTATATTTTGCGTTGTCTATCATAATAAGGAATGCCCCCTCTCTCTCTCACTCTCTCTCTCTCTCTCTCTCTCTCTCTCTCTCATTCACTCTTTCTCCCTCTCTCTTTGTTTACCCCTCGATTTCGTTCTTTCTTTCTCTTTTTCTTTAACATGCACACAAAATTAACACACAAACATGCACCAGCACGTGCCAGCGAGCGCACACACACATGTACACATATTAAAACATAAGCGCACATATACAATCATATGCTTGTATCCCTACACTTTGGTATCGATACCGGAAGTAAGCGTGGGTTATCATTGTTTTATCAAGCAATACCACAACATATTCGTTTTGTGTTCATTGTACACGGTAGAAGTTGTGTTTGAGAGATAAAACTGACTCGTAACCAGAGTTAAAGGATATCATATTTCTGTGGTGGGCCGCTGTTTTGTACTTTTACAATGCCCAAGTAAGTATGTAAATTTATGGATATTTACACGTGTAATAAGAAGGTAGGATATGAACAAGAGAGGGATGCACCTCAAGTGGCTCAACTGTCCATCATCGTCAGTCATCATCAGTGTCGCAATAAAATTTTCAGTTTGTCTCGGTGTTCTCACTGTTGTTTTTGAATTGCCAAAAAGATTGTTGTCAGATCATTTACTGAAAGAAAGGAAGGATTTCTGTAACGAGCGACCGCCCCATCAAACACAATAAAGAAGAGGCCTAACCCTAACCCAAGGGCCAAACCCTGCCCTAATGCTAATGGTCCTACCCCGCCCTAGATCTACCCCTACCCCTAGCCCTCAATTCTGCTCTGTCTCATAGTGGTCGCTCCTCACGATTACGGAAGTCCTCCCGAAACAAATGATAAAGGTTGCTATTACAGGAGTAAAGGTGTTATTTTTTAATACGTAGGCCTAGTCTAGTAAAATTCCATTGTGTTTTTAGGTCTAGATCTAGTAGATCTAGAATCTAGATCTAGGAGATCCATATTCCGTTCCCCGAAGCCGAAAGCGCATATTTTTGCACTTCGCCTTCGTCCGGTAAGTGCAAGCCTACCGTATCAGTAGGGTAAGCTATCAGCCTGGCAATATAATTTCTTTTAAAAAAATTAATTGATTTCTTTTCCTTTTTCAGATACTACTGTGACTACTGTGACACGTACCTCACACATGACTCGGTGAGTATTTGCCTGCGTTGTTGAGGAACTGTAGAATGAGTATTTGTCTGCATTGTTGAGGAACTGTAGAATGAGTATTTGTCTGCGTTGTTGAGGCTGAGGAACTGTAGAACGAGTATTTGTCTGCGTTGTTGAGGAACTGTAGAACGAGTATTTGTCTGCGTTGTTGAGGAACTGTAGAACGAGTATTTGTCTGCACTGTTGAGGAACTGTAGAACGAGTATTTGCCTGCGTTGTTGAGGAACTGTAGAACGAGTATTTGCCTGCGTTGTTGAGGAACTGTAGAACGAGTATTTGTCTGCACTGTTGAGGAACTGTAGAACGAGTATTTGTCTGCGTTGTTGAGGAACTGTAGAACGAGTATTTGTCTGCACTGTTGAGGAACTGTAGAACGAGTATTTGTCTGCGTTGTTGAGGAACTGTAGAACGAGTATTTGTCTGCACTGTTGAGGAACTGTAGAATGAGTATTTGTCTGCGTTGTTGAGGAACAGAATTTTCAATATAGAGATTTTGTAATAAGAAATTCAATAACATAATTTTAATGAGACTTTTTTAATGTGTAGCTGTTTTCTTTGTATGATAAAAATGATGATTCAGGTAAAAGACTACGGTTTCTCTGCATTGATTGGTTATCTGGTCTTTTCTTTTAAATTCTAAGCTCTGAAAATATGAGAAAACTGTGATTACCATAATGACATAAAATGTTTGGTACTATATCTTCTTTTTATCCAGTAACAGTAAACCTTTAGTTGAGAGTCTTGAGGGATTATAAACTGACGTTAGCTCTTTTTATGTTAAATTTGAAAATGGGTTACTGTTTTTTAAAGAATTTTCGAACTGAACTAACAAGATTTGTTATTGACTCTTTAAAAAAAAAATAATTGCAAAACACTTTATGGGTAGGCTACCTTTTGCAAAATCCGAGGCTACCTTTCTGGGGTGTGACAGAATTGGCATTACTAGGTTATTTTCTTTGCTTGTTGTCTAAAAATGCTAATATTTGTAGCTATGTTAAATAGCCAGTACATGTGGTCATGGTTTTCCGTCCCTGCTCTGTCCCCCAGCCGTCTGTGAGGAAGACACACTGCAACGGGCGCAAACACAAGGAGAACGTGCGGCTGTACTACCAGAAGTGGCTGGAGGAACAAGTGCAGAAGTTGGTCGATGACACCAGTAAGTTGAAGTTAACTCACTCACAAATGCACATTTTTGGCTTTGGGCGCATTGGCCCCAGCCACTGCAGTTTCGGGGGTGTTTTGAAAAAAATCAGCTTGACAAATGTATTCAAGATACACACTTGTTTGTTGTGTTAAAAGTATACATAATGAAATGTTTCCAAACAAACAGACCATGTTTATCTCGTCTACTTTTTTTTTTTTTAAACAAATTTTTCAATTTGACACTTTTTCTATTAAAATGGTAAAATATGTCTACTGGAGAAGCTAGTTGAATCAGAAAACATATTCCCCATGAGGATAGATAGATGCTCCAAAACAGCACAAAAAGATAGCAGAGGGGTATAAGAGAGTTGTGAAACAGCAAGAATTTTGGCTGCACTGCGCTTTGGCTCAGAACCACTGGAGCTGATAAATTCATAAAATTTCAACCCACTGGCTGAGCAACACGTAACATGGATCAAATTAAAGGGACGTGACTGGAGAATACTTTCCCCGCACCGTTCTCGCCACAGTGGCGACCCCTTAGCCTTTAAGATCAAAATTTAAAAACTCCTTTATGTGTGGAGTTTACTGGAAAAACGTTGAATAAGGTACACAAAATGTAAACTTGCAGTTTCCAAGGACTCTCAAACTTTGGAAATCATGAAACTTGGGTGGCAATTTTCTTGCTAATTTTATCAATCTCTGAAATCAGCTGATCCCCACCTCCTTTCATCGCAAATATTTCGACTCCTATTCAAGATAGATGAATCTTTTTTGCGCCTAAAGCAAGACAAATGAACAAGCTTTCAGATGATATCAATAACTCCACATGCCCTAAAATTGATGAGTGCCGGATTCCACCGTGCCATGACACATTTTTATCGTTTGTCCCCCCTCGTGCTTACTCTTCTATAACAGTGGTGTACCATGTGACGATCTGTCAGAGACAGTTAATCATTTGTGTCTTCTCTCTCTGCAGCGGCGGCGTACCAAGCTGGCAAGATCAGCGCCAACCCGTTCTCGTCAGGCACCCCCGGGGGACCCCCAAGTGGGGCCATGGTACCTCCGCCCGGCGCCCCGCCACGTGAGTCACATTATGTCTTGTTGTTTTTAGGTCATTCCCAAAGGAGGGGTGTTAACATGTCTGTCTCTCTCTCGACCTAAACTATCTGTCTCTCTCTCTCTCTCTCTTTCCATCTAAACTATCTGTTTCTCTCTCTCCCTCTCTTTCCATCTAAATTATCTGTTTCTCTCTTCTCTCTCTCTCTGTCTCTCCATCTAAACTATCTGTCTCTCTCTCTCCTTTTAAACTATCGGTCTCTCTCTCTCTCCATCTAAATGTCTGTCTGTCTGTCTGTCTCTCTCTCTCTCTCCATCTAAACTGTCTGTCTATCTCTCCATCTAAACTGTTTGTCTGTCTCTCCATCTAAACTGTCTGTCTGCCTCTCTCTCCATCTAAACCTTCTACCTCCCCCTCTCCCCCCAGCCAACGTCCCGAAGCCTCCCATGATGGGACCGCCAGGAGCTCCACCGATGGGACCGGGACCCATGAGAGGACCCATGCCTGGACCGGGAGGACCGCCAGGCGGACCGGGCCCCATGATGCCGATGATGGGACCGGGACCCATGGGACCCATGATGCCAGGTAAGTGTCTGGGTCCACGACAAACACTCAGGGGATTTTTGTTTTTTTCTTGATTAAACATTTGTGTTTGTTTTGTTTTTTTAATAAAAATTTTTTAATTTTTTAAAAATTAAACCTTTTTTTTTTAAAGTCTGTTGAAAAACCCAGGTGGGATTTGCATAAAAATCTTTTTTTCTTCTTTAATGTCATTTCTGTTGGTCATGTGGCACTTGTCGTACGTCAAGTGAAAATACAAGTTAATAATTCAGTGATGCTAATCTTCCTCGGATGCGAGCAATTCCGGGGTTTTGGGCCTCCCGAGAAAATTTCTCACTTGAAAAAAATAATGGTGGTTCAGAATCATTTAAAGGGTGCACAGTTATATTAAGGAGTCTGAAGTCACTTTAAGTTTCATTTTCAGTCTTTCATTGTTTAGATCTAATCTTGGGAAAGTCCGTCTTCTAAGACGCCATTGTAAACAAGTGAAGCTTCCGTTCACAAGGAGTGCGCACTGCACCCACAATGACTTGACGGTTGATTCTTTTTAGTCCGTCCATGGAACGGGGTACCCAGCTAGTTTGATATATTTGTGTTGCAAGTGCCGTAAAACTGAATAAAACTACAAACTAAACTAGTCGCTGTCTGTTTCAGGTATGTGGGTGGTTGGCGGGTGCTCTGGGGTGGTTTGCTACTTCTTTTCTATCTAACATCTATCGTCTTTATCTCTCCTCCTTTTTTGTATATGTTACTCATTTGTAACCCATTTATTCTTTGGCAGTTATATGACCTTATTGTGTTTTCTAGTGCCATAAAACTAACAAAAACTGAAGACTAAGCTAGCCCGTGTCTGTTTCAGGTATGCGGCCAATGGGACCGCCGATGGGAGGCCCTCCGATGGGGATGGTCCCCATGGGCCCCATGAGGCCGCCCGTGATACGCAAGTGAGGACCGGGTGTGCTCGCAACCTTCACCTGTACATAGCTCATCAACCCCCCACCCCACTCCCCCACCCATCGCCTTGTCATGTGGCAGCGGTGAGGCTCATACAGCAGCTGGTAGTTCCTGTCAATGTCGTGTTCTACGTGTGGTTCTATGTGAGAGTCGTGACACGGTGGAATCAGGTGCTTCTCAACTTTTGGGTATACTATATATGGAGTTATTGCCATTGGCGTCATCTCAGAGCTTGTTCTTTTGTCTTGCTTTTGAGGGGAAAAAATGCCTCTATCTGTCTTGAACAGAAGTCGAGACATTTGTGATTGAAGGAGGTTGGGGTCACCGTGTGTCAGGTAAAATTACCAAGAAAATGGCAGCTAGAGTTTGGTGACTTACTAAACTTTGCGTCCTTGGAAAATGAGAATTTACTTTTTTTTTCTTTTGTCCGCAACGTCAATGTTTTTCTATAGAATCCAGACAGGCTTGGGTTTTTAATGGACATCAAAGGTGTTTAGCCAAAGCTAAAATTTGATAGAAATTGTCCAACGGGTGGACAAATAGATCTATAGGTTTCTTTGATTTCTTTTTTTTTTTTTTGATGAGCGTCTGATTTCATGATGATTCCTTACATATTGACCTGTGTGTGAACTGGATGGATGGAAAGATGGATGTTATACTGGGAACTATCTTTGTTATGCTGGGTTTTTTTCAAAGGTTATAAATGTGCTGGACGGAAAAGTGTTGATCTTTTCTTCTTTCCAATGGTCCTGCAGTTTGTTCTGAATGTAAATAAAAGTCTCATGATTTCATGTCACAATTCTGCCAGTTTGTGTGGGTTTTTTAAGTTTTGTTGTTGTTTTGTCAACAATGGATTCCTTTAATTTTGTCTTGTAAATTATTTGTGTCCCCCATGGGTGCAGTCCAAAGGGGGATATTAACATGTTCTTATGCACTGTAGAATTGTAAGGGCTGATTTATCAATGTCATGCTCAACTGCTGCTTTTTCTTTCCTACTCCTTACTATCGTCATTTTGTATGTTTGTCACTCTCTTGTGACCTGCTATTTCCGGGGTGCCTTGATAGTCGAAGTAGACTTTGTGCTGTTGAGGCTAGAGAGGTGAGCAGAGTAAGCCTGATTCCCCATTTGGGCTTCTCTGTTGACATCCACCCCTTGGCGCTCATATGACCTTATGCAGCTGCGAGCAGCGTGCGGGACACATTAAACGTTTTCAGTTGGTAGGAAAGTTTGAATTATCCGCGGGTGGCGGCCAAGCCTACTCTTATCGAAATTGTTCACTCTTGTCCGAGAAGGCTAGGTGTAGATCTTTCATACCATAAGGTCAGGGGTATGGCTGAAAGACAGCAGTAAGAAGGAGCCATAAAGTAGCAGAAGAAAGGTTGCAGAAAGAGTCAGGAGCTCAGAGAAGAGGGCAGAAAGTGTAGACGAAAGCAGACGACAGTACATTGTTAGAGGGGCAGGAAAATGAAGAAAATATTTTCATCACTATCTGGATTAGAACACGGATCTATGAATGACAGGTGAACTCTTTAACCTCTACCCATGAGAGCCCCCTATCATCGTCTGAATCATAGATTCCCATCAACTGTTGCACATCAAAGTCATCTGCTATTGAGATATCTGACTGATTGAACTGATTATCTTCAACACCACAGTCAGGAATGTGAAATCACTCAAGGTCCTGAAGGACCAGGCAACTCATCGTCAGATAAACCCCACATCTCGCTTCTTCAAAGCCACAACCTCTCTCAATTGGTCGCTTTTAAGGACAAGCGGGCTAACTGGATTTTGGAGGTTTCCAGAAATCTTGACCTACACCAAAAGTGGGCGTTGCCCTACCTATAGAAGAAGTTTGGTTTCTTTGGTGTGTATATTTGTTTGGTTATAGAGAAAACTATCCTTGTCTTTTAAAGAAACTGAACAAGGGGCAAAAACTTTGCCTTCGATTTTGTCAAAACAGCATTTTTCGGGATAGCCCCCTTGTGCTTTTAAACAAAAGCGACCAATTCAGTTACCGTTATCAAAACTTTCTACTGTGCAAGCAAACTTTCACACAGTTGTTTCCCCTGACCCAGACAGCAGAAAGTTGTGATAACTTGAGGCAATTCAGAGCTGCGGTTCTACCAAGCGATACATGTATAGATAGATCTAGATCTTGCTGTCCCCGCGGTTTTATGAAAAAATAAAATAAAATTTATGAAATTATGCAAACTGAGCCCAAAAATGTGAAATTATGCGATTCTGTTCATTTGTAACAAAGAATGATTAAGGAAAATAATTATAAAAATTATGCCAAAAATGATCAAATTTTTTATTATGCGGGGTGCATAAAACCACGGGGACATGTATAGGACTCTAGGGCGGCAGCAGATAGCAGCGGTATAGGACTTAGGACGCTAAAGGTTCATTTCTGAGATCAATGTGGGAGACAAAGTCAGGACATTTCTCAGTAAGTCCAAATTTTCAGAGGAAGAAAGGAAGAAAGACTTCTTCAAAAATATCATCAACTTTCTGAAGACAGCAGTTACATATCTGTCCCCGTGGTTTTATGTACCCCGCATAATTTAGCAAAATTTGATCATTTTTAGCATAATTTCTGATTATTTTCCTTGATCAGTCTTTGTTAAAATTAACAGAATCGCTTAATTTCACTTTTTTGGGGCTCAATTTGCATAATTTCAGATTTTTTGTTGTTGCTTAAAACCGCTGGGACAGGTTAATTTCTGAGATCAGTGTGGGAGACAAAGTCAAGACATTTCTCAGTGAGTCCAAATTTTCAGATGAAAGGAAGAAAGACGTCTTCCAAAATGTCATCAACTTTCTGAAGACAGCAGTTACATATCTGTTAAAGAACTTGCCCTTCAGTGAAAAGGAAGAGTCGAGGGGGACCAAGAAATTGATCCCCGGAGACTGCGTGTCTAGGGGGACCAAGAAATTGATCCCCGGAGACTGCGTGTCTAGGGGGACCAAGATTTTGGTCCACGGAGATTAAAAATTGTGGTCTTTTCATTCGAAACCTTGATGTGTTATTTGTCCGTGAGGGAGAGAGAGAGAGAATGAAAGACAGACAGAAAGGAAGTAAGAAAGAAAGAAGGTTTAGAAAGACGGGAAGAGAGAGAGAGGGGGGGAGAAAATGTGTGTGTGAGAGAAAGAGAGAGGTGAATAAGAGTACACGACACAAAGGGAATGATTTAGAATTTAGAGAAAAAAGAATAGGATAATACATGTCGTGTGCGTGTTCTGCGTGCAGGCGTGAGTACATTTTTAAGCTTTGCGAGCTAAAATAAATAAGCCCGATTTAACGACGCCCTGAACGCTGGAAATTTACTCACTTCTTTCTGCATGCAGAACACGCCTGAGCATGCACACAGTCTTGATAGCGCACAAGACGCAAGATCAACTCCCATTCAGTGACAATAACAAGAACGGAAAAAGGAAGTATGTGACAGCTTGGAAACGGTAAAATGACAAATTATTTGCTAAATGGAGCGACAAAGGGCAGCCGGTGTCTCTAGAGGGGCGGGGAGAGACAGCAACCTGTGTGGAAAAACCAGATTCAAGAATATCCAACCAGCTGTTTACTGATACTGATACGATCAGCAGACAGACCCTTTCATGGATCCTGGAGAGGAGGGAGGAGCAGCTATGGCATTGTGCCGTCTGCAATGACGTCTGTCTGTTCTCAAACCAAGAATAAGAAAGTAAGTCGGAAAACGTAGATAAACAGCAAAGCAAACGGTTGTAGTTGTAGAGACTTGACAGAACGTCGGGTTGGGAACCAAGCACAGACGGAAATATAAATGAAAGATTCGAAATATTCTCAAAGTTTCATCTGTTTTAGGGAGTAACATGCATCATACAAGAAGGAGGAGAGACCAGGGAGTGTAGATCTTTCCCTCTCAGCCCGGGTTGACCTGACAGGCAGGGTCATGGGCCCGTCTCCGAAATCATCTAAACTGTGTCGATGGGGGCGTAAGAACACCTACCTAAATTTAAAAAAACAAACAATTAACGGTCTGGGAATATAACTTTATAAGTCTGTGGTGATAGACTGGCCCGGTCTAGGAAGAATGTACAAGTCTATGGTGATAAAATGGCGTTGTCTAGGAGTATAGTATGTGGTGATAAACAGAAAGGAGTACAATGTATAGAGAGAGAGAATCTTGAATGACGAGATCAGCGCACGCACCCCGGAAGTGACGGCCCGGAAGAGAGGAATGGGCGTGAGCTGGTGGCCAGGATTCCCTCCCAAAGTGGAGAGATTACGTCTCGGCTGTTTGACCTACATAGTTTATGGCTTCTGTCGGCGCACACACGCGCACGAGCACAAATTATGGGATTTACCATTCTCTAGTACATGTACTGTCTTTGTTGAGGTAGGTACTTTTTCCATAATTTTTTTTATCGAGTACAATAACGGAAATGATAGAAACAACAAAAACATGATGATAATAATAACAGTAACAATAATAATAATAACAATAAAACAGTGGAACTCGGATTCAACGAGGTCGTTGGGCCTGACCTAAAAATCTCGTTGAATCCGAGTGTTCGTTAGAGCAAATATGAGGTTTTGAGTAGATAATTATTACAGTTACAGTTACAGGCACTGAGCAAGTAATGTAGAAAGAGAAGTAACAAGTGGTGCCTGAAAGTGAAAGGCCTGCATATCATGAGCTGTGCAAAAAAAACCCTCTACATCTAAGTCCCCCCCCCTCCCCCTAGGTCCCCACCAAAGGACAAACACATTTACTGATTCTTCCTTTCTCCCTCCCTCCCTCCCTTCTCACCCTCCCCCTCTTTCGTCCCCCCGTGAGTGAGGGAAACAGGATCTGGATCCTAGCTAGCCGCACGCAATGAGGACACTGACCCCAGGTTGTTGTTTCACAGTTTGTTTTTGCCAAGTCCCCGGGGCCAGTTTGGGCGTCAGTTTGGGCGTCAGTTTGGGCGTCAATTTGGGCGTCAATTTGGGCGTCAGTTTGGGTGTCAATTTGGGCGTCAATTTGGGCGTCAGTTTGGGCGTCAATTTGGGCGTCAATTTGGGCGTCAGTTTGGGCGTCAGTTTGGGCGTCAGTTTGGGCGTCAGTTTGGGCGTCAGTTTGGGCGTCAGTTTGGGCGTCAATTTGGGCGTCAGTTTGGGCGTCAATTTGGGCGTCAATTTGGGCGTCAATTTGGGTGTTGGCAGAAACGGGATTGGCAGACGACAGACGGGGAATTACGTAGTATTGGCCAGTGACGTAAGCAGCCTACAAACTCTCCATGGCCAAAAGTCAAGAAGACAGCGGTCTTTGTTTTAATTTTGTTTTAGTTTTAGTAAAACCTTACTAAAAGTTTTAGTAAGGTTTTACGGCGCTCGCAACTGCATAAGGTCATATGAGCGCCAAGGGGTGGATGTCAACAGAGAAGTCCAAACAGGGAATCAGGCTTACTCTACTCACCTCTCTAGCCTCAACAGCACAACGTCAGCTTTGACTATCAAGGCACCCCGGAAATATCAGTTCACAAGAGAGTGACAAACATACAAAAGAAGTAGAGGAAAAATGACGATAGTAAGGATGAAGAAAGAAAAAGCAGCAGTTCCTCCTATGTTGTTCCAGCACAGTATGAGCATGACATTGATAAATCAGCCCATTTACAATTCTACTGTGCATAAGAACATGTTTATATCCCCCCTTTGGGAATGGCCTAAAGGCAACTGTACTTCAGTCAGTAGCACTGCTGTTTGGTTATAGAGAAAACTCCCTGTCTTTTAAAGAAGCTGAACAAGGGTCCAAAAACTTTACCTTCGATTTTCTCAA